GGTCACGTGACTGGTGTGGCACCCTCTAGTTTCTAGAACTATCTTGTTCTTTCATGAATGCTCTTGTATTTACTAGATAGGGTAGGCTGGTATATATAAGAGGGTGACGGAAGGTAATGTGTGTGTAGATAGTGAGTAATTGAACAGCAATCAGAAGTATTATTGACGTTCGTTGTTATAGCGTTTGTTTAGCGCGATTGTTGAAGTTGAGTGTATCGGTAAAGTTATATTCGGAAAGAATAAACCAGTTTTATTAAGTAAAGACTTGTGTCATTAAAATTTCGTCGGAACGAAGTTACGGAAAAATCAATTAACAAACGGAGACGTAACAATATGTTTGTTATATTTATATGTACAATACAGACATAATTTACTCTGTGCTCAGATCGCTTAATATAAAATACATTAAAAATCGGCCAATTTGAAAGATAGAATTATTTGATAAATTATCATTGTATCTAAATAATTCGTAAATGATGCGTGAATTATATATTTTAAGTGTTTGTATCATCCATTAGCGTACGATGTTTGTTTCAATTTTTAACTCCTATTTGCTAACATTTTAAGGACTGCTATGGATTACTTGAACAAAGCTTTGGAACGAATCAAAGTATCAGCTCAAGAAGACAGAGAAATGACATTCCTAGAAACCATGTTATCCAAGAAGCAGATGGATTCTCGTGACGTTATTACAATGATTTTGGACATGTTGATGGCTGGAATTGACACGGTAAGTAAATACAGTTGGTTTGTTGGTAAGCTTAAAAATATGTAGTTATCTATCTGGGTTGTAGCCACCACGAATAATCGAAACCCTATTTCTAGCGTCAAAAGTCTTCAGACTTACCGCTGAGTCACTGACGAGCAAACTACAGAAACCTCGTGATTGTTTCTCTCATGCAAGATTGATTGTAACTATTGTGTTTTTTTTTATACCAGCTACATGTTTAGATTATTTTACTGGTTCACTACTAAATTCTTTACACAAAGTAAATGATTAAAGTTCCGTCTTATAAAATCTATAATTTTTTTTCTTAAAATTACTAACAATTTGACGCTCTGAAAATTAAGTGTAACTTTATAAATAAAAACGTATTTTCAAAGTGGTCTTGTATCATAAAGAGAATTTGACGAATTAGTGATATTGTAGCTTAGACATTTAATTTTGTACATGACAAGCAAAACTGACAAAAAAAAACCGATAAATTTCTAAAATAATAGTATTTGATAATGGCTAAAGGACAAACAGAGAATAAGATCAAAATACAACTATTTTTAGCGATAGTACTCAAAAAATCCCCGGTGGGTCAGCGGTAAGTTTTCTGACTGACAATGCTAAAATCCGGAGTTCGACTCCCCCCTGGTGGACAGAGCACAGATAGACTATTGTGAAGCTCTGCATTTGAATGCCAACAACAACAGTACTCAGAAAGTGCAAACACTCAAATGTTGAAACGCACTATCAAGAACGTGTTCTTTGTATTTTTATATTTAGATGGGCCCGGCATGGCCAGGCGGTTAGGGCGCTGGACTCGCAATCTGCAGGTTGCGGGTTCGAATCCCCGTCACACCAAACATGCTCGCCCTTTTAGCCGTGGGGGCGTTATAATGTGACGGTCAATCCCACTATTCGTTGGTAAAAGAGTAGCTCAAGAGTTGGCGGTGGTTGGTGATGACTACCTGCCTTCCTCTAGTCTTACACTGCTAAATTAGGTACGGCTAGCGCAGATAGCTCTCGTGTAGCTTTGCGCGAAATTCATAACAAACTATATTTCGATATGCTGTCAGTTTATCAAATAAACATAATAATCGATTTTACATTTTAAAACGTTTATTTGTAAAGTGAGCAGGAGAGTTTTTCTTATTACTGTTTAACAACAAGCAACTGTAATCTCAATTTTATATAATGAGTTATAAATTGAATTATAAATGCATATTATAGTTACAATAAAGAACGGGAGAGCTTAATCAACTTTTCCAGAGTTGAAATAATTATGTCGACAATAAATAACCCAAAATTGTGGCCAGGTGGCCATGACATCATAGTTTAACATATTGTCACCAAATGACACAACTATATTAGAGAGGGTTGAAATTATAGATTGATACCAGACAGACGGCTATGGCTATAACGTAATAATTCTATGAAAACCTAGAACAATATTCTAGGCTGCCATGACAGAGAAGAATTTGTCAGCAGAAACTTAACCAGCTGGAGAGCCCAGAATTTGTGTCGGGAACATTTTCCGCAAGTTTTACACGCGTTTAAAACACGTAACAAACGTGGCTGGAACGGCATGTTAACACCGGCACTAGCTTTCATCACGTGGCAACTGGCAGTGTTGCATAACAGGCGTTGGTGAGTGGGCGTGTCGTGTATTGTGAACTGCCGTCAAGAGTAAACGTATTGTGCCTTTTACAAGTTTCAGAATAATTACCGTTGATATAATTGTCTTTGTTAACAATAATTCACCCATAAAAAT